CATGTGGATGCTGTTATTTTTAAAGCAACATAAGAGGAAACAATTTGTGCCTTTTATTCAAGCCCCAAGCCATTCTGCTAACAATGTCCAAAAATAGTAAGTACAGTCTTCTCCCCTGTGAGTCAGGAAGGATGCCAGGAGCTAAGTCCAGGCACAGGAGACCTACCATCAACACAGGTTTTTTGAGGATAGCAAAGGAGTGTTTCTTCCCATATATAGAAACCACGAACCTTCTTTTTAGAATTCACCCCTAAATTATAAATAAATAAACCAAGGCTCAGAAGATGAAGTGATTCACCCATGATCCATAGCCAAAGAGTGTCAGAGCCAGGCCTTGAACCCTTGTCTCTTGACTCCTATCCAGTACTCAGTCTGAGTATTTTCTTTGGGGCATGTAAAATGTCATCAATGTACAGAAATTCTTACACTGAATGGCTCTGAGGCCCATGTTGGCATCCATGATCCCATTATCACTTACTTTGTTTTATACCGTTCAAAACTGTAATCATGTAATCTTTACAGAACTTTAAGCATATCAAACTTAATTTTTATAAACACTCTTTAGAAGATCTACTGTCTTTAGTATGTCCAGAATTCAATAGGTTAATTCTATTGATTTCTACAATGTTTTGTTGTTGTTGTTTTCTAATGGGGCTTTGGGGGTGGGCAGATCAGGTCAACATATCACAGTAAGGACAAATTCGTGTATAAAAAAGCGTATTTCTTTGCAGTGCTGAAAACCAGAACAGCCAGAAAAGGAGGGCTGCATCTTGATTCTGGCCCTCTTCCCATCTGCTTCAGCATATGTTTTAAAGCTTGTGCCATATTACCTCAGCCATGAGCTATTTTTTTCCAAAGGAAACTGAAATATATTTGAAAAAAATAGCCCAGCTTTCCAAAGTGGACTCTCATGGGCTTTTACTGCACACTGTGTAAATAAAAGGTTTGCTTTACAGCTCCTGACAGGAGGAAATGTAAATAGGAACCAGCTGCTTCTCTCCAAGAGCAGAGGAACACCTGATTTTATTCACCTTGTTACCAATGCTCCAGTAAACTTGTGGAGATCTCAGTACTGATGGCAGTGGCTCCCAAACTTTGCCCCACATTGGAATCACCTCAGGACCATTTTTTTAAAATGATGCTCGGTCCCTACCTCGGGATATTCTAATTTGATTCATATGAGGAGTAGCCTTGGCATCAGGATTTTTTTAATGTTTTTAAAAGTTTATTTATTAATTTTGAGAGAGAGAGAGAGAGAGCGTGCGAGCGAGCATAAGCAGGGAAGGGGCAGAGAGAGGGAGAGAGAGAGAGAATCCCAAGCAGGATTTGTGCTGTCAGTGCAGAACCGAATGCAGGGCTTGATCCCAGGAACTGTGAGATCATGACCGGCATCAGGATTTTTTAATGATTCCCTAAATGATTCTCCTGTGCAGCCAAGTTTGAGAACCACTGCCTTTCTGCCCAGTTTGGTAACAACAACAGGCACTAAATCATTCTAGTCTAAAAGGTGAATCTCACCCAGCTACACTCAGTAGAGGCTCCAGATTCATTCTGGTTCAAGACCAGGCTCTGACCGTTACTCAGCTGTGTCCCCCTGGGCATGTCACTTAATTTCCCTGAGCCTTAGTTCCTTCATGAGTAAAATTGGAACTAATAACGCTTCTTTCATAGAGCTCTGTGAAGATTAAATAACATACAGATAGAGTATGTCTAGCACATTTGTAGATATTTTAAACTGTTTCTGCTATAACTATCACTTAAATTCAGAATTCAAATAAACAATTCATTTTTGTTAAGGAAAAAGAAATCTATGCCATTTATACTTTAAAAAATTGTATCTTCGGGGCACCTGGGTGGCTCAGTTGGTTAAGCATCCAACTCTTGGTTTTGGCTCAGGTCATGTTCTTGCAGTTTCATGAGTTCGAGTCAGGCCCTGTGCTGGCAGTGCAGAGCCTGCTTGGGATTCTCTCTCCCCTTCTTTCTCTGCCCCTACCCCACTGGTGCTGTCTCTGTCTCTGTCTCTCTCTCTCAAAATAAATAAATAAATACTTTAAAAATGTTTAATATATTTTCTTCTTATTATGATTTGGTTTCTATATAAGAAGACTTTGCCCATTTACCCATTTACTTTATTCAACAAATATTTATTGATAGACTATTCTGTGTCCAGCTTTATTCTAGGCATGGGAGCATATCAGCAAACAAGAAATATTTCTAAGGGGGAAGACAAAAAATAAATTTACGTAGGTTATATGATTCAGTAGAAAATGATAAGTGCTATGGATAAAAATAAAGCAGAAAAGGGGATGAGGGTGATGGGGGGGTTCTATTTTAAATTACAGAAACTGTCATAATCATATGTTATGATCTACAAGATAGTAGTTTAGTTTTTAAGTGAATTGCAGTATAGTTTTCTTCAAGCTGCAGTAAACTCATTCTCTGTTATGGGTTGGTAATATCAATATAGTGGATAAAATCGCTTCTTGTGCATTTCATACTTTTTAAAAATTAATATTTTTATAGAAAATTAGTTCCTGAGCAAAAGGCAACCTAACAAGATGATGCCGAGTCCCCTTTTTCAAACTGCCTTAGGCTGGGTTCCTTCTGAAGCAGACCCTGAGAGAAGGAGTTGCGGTCTAATTTAATCGGGAGATGACCACTGGGGGCATAGATACATGAGACAGGGAAAGGAGAGAAGCCCATAGAAAGTGGTTTCACTAGTGGGCTTCAGCTGTGGGCAACTGGGGCTTCCCACTGAGGATCTCTGGGAGGCTGTATAGAATGTTCCTGAGATATAAGGAATATATCATATAAGGAGTATAAGGACATAAGGCTATATCATATAGGGATATAAGGAATATATAGCATATCTGGAATAAGGGAGACATGGGGTGGGGAAGCAACAATGTCTGCTACACTACGGCCAAAACCCCAAACCTTCATTCTCCTAATTCAGAATTTTTAACACCAGATTTACACAGAGACTAAGCTCAGGTTTTCCTTTTCTCAAATAAGCTTCCAATATTGTGATGTATCATAAAGAATATTGTGGCACGAATGCTTAACATTATTTAAAGAACAAGACTATTTTCAAACATTCGTAAAAGTTTCAGAAGCCCTAATTACTTAATATGCTAATGACAAATTATCTATTTGTTAAAGCCCTATGAGACCCACTACTTTGATTTAAACTCTTCAGTTGCATTCTCTAGAAATAGTCTACACTAAGATTTCTTTGTTCAAAATGCCTTTTCTAACTGAATTAATTTGAAACAGGGAACAGTGTTTTTATGTTACCAAATGCAATTGACCTTCTCAACAAACAGGCAACAGACAATGAATATTCCTATATTCGCTGTACTAAAATGTTATAACATCAGCTAGGACTTTGGTCTTCCATGTGCTCTAACATTCTTAAAAACAAAGCACTGAAATCAAGACTTTTTTTTATACAGTTGACTGAAGTGAATAGGGGCTGAAAATTGTAGATCTCTTCTTTTGTCCACTTAACCCTTTGCAAAAGATCTTCTCTGTGCTTCTTTGGGGTCCACATAACATGGAGCCCCACTGGTGAGGCAAGAGTAGGTTTACAAGATCAGGAAGAAGGATGCTCAGGAGGTCACTTAGGTAAATGCAGTAGTGGAAATTGGAACATCAGCAAATCCTAAGGCAGTGTTATTGTTCATGGACTGTAGTCAAATGCACCCAGGTTCAACCCTGGCTCTACAACTTACTAGCCATATGACCTTCAGCATATTACTTTATCTATGTCTCGGTTTCTTCATCTGTAAAATGGGGATGAAATGGGACTGCCTTTAAAAGGTTGTTGTGAAGAGTAAAAGAGATACTGCATTTTGGAGCACAAAGCACAGCCCTTGGCACATCATAAGAACACAGGTAACTCAACCAAAAAGTCTGGGGAATAGACTAGAGGTAACAGGGCTCAAAGGGGGCTCAGAATGGGTGGTTACCACACAGAGCTTTGGCAGCCATTGATTCTTGCAGAGCCCCTGGACTTCGAAGGCTTCCTTTCTTAGGCCACCCAGAATTCTCCAGACTACCTGGTCCCTTGGTGCAGACACTCTGGGCACTAGGGACCTCACCTGGTTTCAGAGATGGCTGGTTTCCTTGAGACAGAACAAGGCTACATCAGTGTCTGTGGCTGAAGATAGACTTTGCTTTCAGATAGTGCAGGTAGCAGAAGTTTGGGAAGACTAGAGTCCAAATTCTGCTTCTGTTATTTCCTGTGTGGCCTCAGACAAGTCGCTTAGCCTCTCTGGGTGTTAGTTTCCTCATCTCTCAGTGGATGGTAATGCCCACTTGCAGACAACAATGTATGTGAAGGGCACCACAGAGCAGGCACTTATCTCACAACACTCGAGGCTCATGGGAGAATGTTTATATCCAGGGGAGTTTTACTAGAATGAGTTCTAAGGTTCATACCCAAACCTTGAAATGAGGCCCAGGTCATCTCTTCATCTGAGTTGTCACACGCTCCCTGCCAGATTGGGCAGAAGACTTGTATAGCAGCCTACACTAAGCCACAGATTTGGACTTCCTTAACGTGACTTATTTGGTGATGGAGTCTTTTCAGGATCTGCCACTCTGATTCAATTCTTGACCTGAGAATACTCCTAACCAGTTGGAAGAACTGGAAGAACATTTCTAACCAGAAATGATGCAGTCTAAGAACTGTTCACCTATCCAGTGAACTGAATCAAAACTCTTCTCTGCCAAGACATGAGACTGCAGTTATGTGTGTGTGAATAATGGCTCCTTGACACTTACTAGCCTGCCTGGTCCTGTGTCCTGGAGTCTCATCTCTACCCTTTCTCCTCAACATCCCCCACTCAAATATGCACACTATTTTGTTACGGATACCACCTCACAAGTGCTTGATGAGTCCAGCATTTATGGTTCTGAACAAGAGTGTGGTCTTTAAAAAGAGATGCAGTGATATTTTATGAGTATTTGCTATGAGTTTTTTTTCCCTTTTCCAGGGAAAACGGAAGCCTATTTGGAAGCCATCAGAAAAAATATTGAGTGGCTGAAGAAACACGACAAAAAAGGAAATAAAGAAGGTAAGGATTTAGTATGGTTGCAAACTGCCAACCTCACCCATTTGTCAGGGGTTCTTGTTAAATAAAGTTTCCCACAGTCAAACTGGGCTAAAGTCTCCTGTCAGAGTCCAAAAACACTCCAGGATACAGGAATAGAATCTCCATTTCTCTTATTTTTCAAAGCCACCTCTTGGGCAAAGGCCTTTTCTTTTACATTTTATTATGAAATGTATCAAACAAAAGTAGAGAGAATAGTATCATGAATCCCCATGTATCCACCAACCACCTTCAATAATTATCAATATTTTGCCCTTTTCTTGGAGTATTTATTTTCATACGTTTTTTAAGTTTATTTATTTTGAGAGAGAGAAACAGCATGAGTGGCAGAGAGAGAAAGAGAGAGAGGAAAAGGGAGAATTCCAAGCAGGTTCCACACTGTCAACATGGAACCTGCTTGGAAATCCAAAGAAATCCAAGCAATTCCAACCCCAACACGGGGCTCGAACTCACAAACTGTGAGATCATGACCTGATCTGAGATCAAGAGTCAGACGCTCAACCAACTGAGACACCCAGGCCCCCTTGGAGTATTTTCTAAAAAGGGAATTTTTTGACCACATATTAGATGGACCCTGCAATTACAAAAGCAGTCACTCACTTAAAACACAGAACAAGACTGTTCTGTTCTGAGTACCAGAGATATGCAAATGTAAGATGCAGCCTCCCCTTGCCCTCCCTGACCCCCAAGGAACTCCCAGCACCACTAAAGCTACCACTAAAGCCTGCTCCCAGCACCACTAAAGCCTGCTTGGCGCTATCATAGACAGGTGCAGTGCTACAAAGGTGGGGGGCACATCTCCTTACAAGGATGCATAGCACTGGGAGAAAGGATTGCAGGAAAGCCTTTGTTGGAAAGCTGAGTGACGAGAGGTGGATGCAGAGGAAACACTGGGCCCAAGACATAAAAGGACGAAAGAGAGTCATGTGTTCTGGGAACTGAAGCCACCCAGTTTCCCAGGAACACTGGGTATCTGTGGGAAGGATCGGCAGCCAGAGGTGGGAGGTGGGTAGCAGCCAGATCAGGAAGGTGCTTGCGTGTCCTGCAAAGGAGGTAAGCTTTAGCCAGGGGAACCTAAATTAGGACTTAATTAGGTTAAGAACTGAGAAATCTCTCTGGCAGCAGTGTGGCTATAGATCGAAGAAATAGGACCCCAGGGGATTGGACAGAGATTGAAGGCAAAGATCTGGAGCAGAAATTATGGGGCTTAAACCAAGGCAGGGCAGAGGAAATAAAGGGAGAAACTTGACAGCAATGGATACAGATGAGTCCAGTATGACTCCCAGGTGTCTGGCTGAGCAGTTGCCAAAGGATGCTTTTAAAATGAGACGAGGGGTGTTTTCCAACTTGAAAGGGCATTCAAATCACCTGCAGAGCTCTTACATGTCCTGATGTCCAGGTCACATCTCAGGACCACTATAGCAGAAACTCAAAGAAAAGGTTGCAGGCATCAGTATTTTTAACCCCCTCCCCATGATTCCACTGTGTAGCTAAGTTTGAGGACCACTGATACAGAGAGCACAATGGGAGAAAGAGGTATTTTCAGTTCCTCTTTAGCCTATGGTCTTGTTAAATTCAGTGAAATGGAAATAATTATCAGCTTTTCACACAGTTTATTTGACTCAAAATAATGTAAATTTCTAGGCTATCAGTTCCATTAAAATTCACATGAACCATATTACATCAAATCTGTCACTGATTGACGAATGAACCATTGTTTCATGTACCACTAAGGAAGAAAAGTTATAACATGCCATCAGTGACTGTAAAGACTTTTTAAAAATGGGGCACCTGGGTGGCTCAGATGGTTAAGTGTCTGACTTTGGCTCAGGTCATGATCTCACAGTTCATGAGTTTGAGCCCTGCTTCAGGCTCTGTGCTGACAACTCAGAGCCTGCAGGCTGCTTTAGATCCTGTGTCTCCCTCTCTCTCTGCCCCTTCCCTGCTCATGCTCTGTCTCTCTCAAAAACAAACATAAAAAATTTTTTAAAAATATACAATAAAAAATGTTTATCTTAGAATGAGTGTAATACAGAAAGTACCAAAATGCATTCTGAAACCAATGTTAATTTGATGGTCCAACAATTTGGAATACTTATGTCATTTCTTTCACTGATTAACATGAATCACACTCCTGGTCATAACCCGCAACATCCTGCAATATAATCTTCAACTTCCAGAAATGATCAACCTAGTCAAGCATGGAACCCTGATGCTTGCATCTCCAAGGCTCTGTGAGCAAATTTCAAAATGACGGTATTGAGTTTGATGCTCCCTTCTGCCCTCAGGAAGTGAGGGTGATGTGCAGTATACCCCCCTGAAGACAGAAGCAGACAGCTTTTCCTCCATTGCCTTCATATGTGCTCTGCTTGACCTAGGTCACCTCTTAAAGCCGGTGGATCTCGTTCCTAGGGTCACACAGTGGCTGCAGCTGTGTGAGCAGGAAGTCCAGTAGCTCTGTTAGTTCTGACCTTCCTTAACCTCTGCTCATGCCCTTTGCTGGGCAGGGGTCTGGGTAACCTGCCTCTCCTTCCCAGAGCCAGGAAAGGGAGGTCCATGTGATGTGATGCTGAGAAGGATGATAAAACTTTATGCACCCTTAAAAAAAAAAAAAAAAGTCTGTACTTTTAAAAAAATGAATCACAGCCCTTTTTTCTTTTGAGCCTAACAACCTTAAAACATATTTTTAAGATTAGCAACGTGACTACTGACTTGTGTAATCTAACAGCCAGCTAGTTTTCCTACGGCGCACAGTGAGAGCTGTCTTAACGATAGTTTTTCCATTTCAAAAGAAAGCAAAATACTTTCCTGTTTGTCCATTCGAATCACCCAGACCTCTTCACATCTGCCCTTGAGCTGTCTTTCATCCCACTAAAGACGTTGACCCTGCAGCCAACTCAGAAAAGCCAGTATTAATTTGAGCTGGTGATAATTAAGAGGCGCCTCTTTGTGCCCTATGAGACTGGAATCAGCTTGTGAGGAATCAGCACACAAATCATATGTGCAGCTTGATTCTGTTTTGTCCTGACAGGGAAAATAAAAGCCAACAAAACCCAAGCACTTACTGAACATTTGTTCTACACCTGTTAGTGGCTTCACGTTCATTACTTCAAGGCCACAGGGTGGTTCAGGGCAGTGACAGACAGACCTGGGTTCAGAACCTGACTCTACCATGACCCAAGCAAGTGACTTCCCTCCTCTGTCCCGTTTCTTCATCTCTGAAATGGGGATACTAATGCTTACCTCATGGAGTTTTGCGAGCAGCATATCAGATGATGGCTGTAAAGTGCCCCGGCTGGCAGTTATGTCTTTAATCTTCAAGGCGAAGCCCTAATGGGAGCAAATGCCTCTCTTGGTTGAGAGGAAACCGGCTTTATCTGAGCCTCAGCTCATTTGATATGATAAACACCTGGCACTTATAGAGATGTTCTTTATAGTTTTCCTTTCATGGGGTGCTCTGAGCTTCTGTTACCCCCTTTCTCCTTTTTTTTTTT